ACTGGTTTAGTATGGTAAAAGGGGCTATAGTCACTATAGCTAGTAAAAGATTGACTATCTGGAGTTTTTAAAAATTTACTCTCAAATTCCTTTCAGACATTCTTTAGCAAAAAAGAACTGACATAGTAGAAGCTATAATTTTCCACATGATGCTCGAGAAAGACTTATAAAAGCAGGTGAAATTCATTTGCAGTACAGGGGAATTATGGATTTTAAATTAATATTAATTTTTATTAATTCAGAATGCAAAGTCACTAAGCCAGATAAATTCTCCCATCACTGTCCTTCACTAGCTTAGACTGCTTGAAAACAAAAACCATCATTTTTAAGAGAAGACATAGGAGCCTCAAATGTGTCACTGCCACAGTCATACAACCAAGACCACTCGTAACCCTTTCCAACCTCATCTCCCACTATCACCGCCAGGAGTGGACGTCCAGTTAGACTTCCTCATCCTTGACCCTTGCCTATAATTCTGCTTTCTGGCCTTCCCAAGAACACCATCCTCATGTCTTCTTCCTGTGCTCCAAGGACCAGCACAAATCTCACACAACCCAAGGGAACTCTCTCTGACCTGACTCTAACCAGCTCTTTGTTGCTTTGCTTCTTTGGCCCTGGACCCAGACAGCTAGCTACTATTAATATACCCACAGGTGTATGTGTCTACTCTTGAGGACAGAGACCTCAAACTTCTAGCACAGGGCCTTTTGTAGAGTAGGCCCTGGACCCAGACAGCTAGCTACTATTAATATACCCACAGGTGTTATGTGTCTACTCTTGAGGACAGAGACCTCAAACTTCTAGCACAGGGCCTTTTGTAGAGTAGGTCTTCCAAAACATTTTAAAGATTTATTCTTGCAAAAAACAGAGGACAAGCAAGAAGTGGAGGTAGAACAAGACGGACTCAGGGGGTGCTCTGAAAACAACTGCTCTGGCTAGAAAAAACAGAACTGAATTTGCATCTCTCAGAAAGAACAAGAATCTATCTACTCCTTGTTCTTCCCACCACAAGTCAGGTCTATCTGGGCTTGGAATTAGCCCTTATATACACATGGGAAGCCAGAGGGGTTCGGAGAAATTAAAAGACAGAAGGGAGATGATGCTGTTATGGAGTGCTTTCTTTGGCTGATACCGTCCTACGCTAAGCTAAAAAAATAATAGTGCTGAAAATTATTCCACTAGCAATAGTACAGCAGACCGGCCCTATCCATGCCTTTCTTCACCTTAATGAATCCAAATTCCATTTTTACCCATAAGACTTATTTCCATCATCCCCCAACTCAGCAGGGAAGAGAAAGCTAAGAATTCACCTGTTGGAACCAATGGGAAAGGTACCATGGAGGTGATGTGTCAGGCCATCTCTGACTGCAGATGTATGAATGGAATCTCTTTTTCACTGGTGTCTATCTTTGGTTGACATCTCTGCTTTACTCTGATTTGGGCCCTTAAAGGGCAAAGTATGCCTACTTGGGCAAAGCCTGCCTCCAGAAATGGCAATGGGGCAAGAAGGCAGGCAGGCAGAGGCTGGCCCATTCTCCCTCCCCTAACCGGAGTCCCTGTCTCTTTCTCTTTTGTCTCCCCGCACCACTTCCTCCTTCTCTTTCTCTTCTCATCCCAGCTATGTCTGTTTCTCTGCCCTTTGTCTTTAAATCTCTCTCGCTCCCATTCCTTCTCTTCACCCTTTGTCTGTCTCTGTCTCTCCCCCTCCTCCCTGTGTGGGAAAAGGGGGTGGTGTGTCTGTCTTTCCCCCTCCGTGTAAGTTTGCATGTGTGCCTCCTCTCTCTCTTCCCATTCTCGTTCTCTGTCTCTCTGGCTCCTCTCTTGTGAGACTTTTCTGCAGGACACCTAGACTGAGACTACGTGGTTATGTGGCTATGTGGTTATGGCCAAGTTACTTTACATCTCTGAGCTTCAATTTCATCAATCGCATAGTAAGTTAGACTGAATGCTCTTTCAGGTCCTTGACAGCTCTGAGATTTTATCACTGAATGAAATGGAACCTCAGTCAACACATGAAGCAGTGGCTGTTGTAGAATCAGGAAAATCAGGCTGGGAGTCCCCAACAGCACAAGCACCAGGGGGCGCCCGAGTACCACTCAAAGAGGATGTGATTAACAACCCAGCTACCACTGATTGAAGATTTAGTATGTGCTAGGCAGGCACTGTGCTAAGCACCATACTCTACGCGTGTCTCACTCAGTCTGGTGAAATAGGTACTGTTGTTTTTGTTCCTACTTTAGAGGTGAGGAAACTGAAGCATGAGATGAAGCAACTTGCCTAAGGTCACACAGACAAGACATGTCTGCACAGGATTTACACTCAGGCTGTCTGACTCCAGAGCCCACACTCTTATCCACCACTTTGTATTGCCCTAGCCACTGATGCTTGCTCACACGTTTCCCATGTAGGCCACTGAGCAAACATCTCTGGATCCCAAATGCACTCAGGAGTCTTGGATCCAGACTATATGGTTCCATCAGTTCTCTCCTCCTTCAAGCCACTAACTCACACTTCTGCCTACACCTGTTCCATCAATGCTCTTTGCCCTGCTCACTAACTGGCATGCTCTGGCAGACTTGTTCTTTATATGTTCAGATGCATGTGTATGTGCCATTCTAACTCACCAGGCATCTTGCCAGTCCCTAGTGAAGCACTGGGCCCGCAGTAAGGCCCAAGCTTGCTGAATAACTGATGAGCACCACGATATTTCATAGGCACTGAGGTTTTGTCCCTGAATCTTCTGCCTGGGCTGTAAATACTTGGAACAGCACACCAGACACCTGACAGGCACTAATGTTTGTTTGGGTGTCAGGTAAGCAATTGAGACCCATAGGCAGGTTTGGTAGGCCTCATTTTTCCTCAGTTTTCCTTGCATCTGTCTCAGTGTCAGATAAATAGTGAGTGAGAGAATGGGTGAATGAAATCGTGCTCCTGGAAGTCATATTTACATATCCGAAAAAAAAAACAATGGAATTAATCATCCTGGAAAATTCAGTTCTCACGGAACATCCACGCCCCCATCACACCCACCTCACAATCTTCTGCTTGCTTTTGCACAGTGCCAACAACCTGATGAATTGATAGGGTCTTAATTCCAGAAAGGCTCTCATTTTTAAGAGCATGATGTAGAACAGCCACAGGTGTAGTTTTATTATACTTTTTCTCAGTTTTAGTTTTAGGTATCATGGTGGCCAGAGAAAAGCCAGGTAACAGCAGTTCCCCATAGACCAAGTCTGGAATGTCACCCTCGTCTTGGGGAGGAGGCCATTCACCAGCCTGCCTCGCAGCCCTTCTGTAGCAATGCAGAGCCCAGCCTAGTACAAAAGCCGTAAAAACAACAGGAGGGAGAAGAGGACACCAGGGAATTTTCACAAGGAGGCTGCCCAGATGATCTCTGTGAGTCACGGAGAGTTCACTGAAACACTAACGCCCCCTCCTTTGTGCCTTCAGAGGCTGGCACTTCACTGTCTCAATCAAGGACTAGCTGCCATGCTCTCCTGTGCTCAGGGATGATATATTTATCTGGACAGCTCCAGACGGCAAGAGAAGGCAGCCAGTTCTTTTGCTTCTCCATTCCTGGCAGGCCCCACAAGGGTGTCAGAGCTGGGGCCAGCATGTCAGCAGTGTCTATCTTGCCTGGGGCTAAGTTGTCACCTCTGATGACTCAGCCAATGCCCCAGTCAGGAGGGGTGCTGCGAGGGAGTCAAGGCAGACCAAGAAAGGGGATGAGCCTGAAGACCTCTCCACTCCTGGGATTGATGCGTGGCATCCCCCCCACCAACAAAGGTGTCACAGTCAATGATAAGGATGCCCTAGTCTTCCTCCATCCTGCCTGTCTCCCTCAGGTACCCAGCACCACAGGCCCTCCCAATAACAGCTGTGAAGGGAACAAACACTCCAGAGACATGAACAGTTGGCTGTCAATTTTCCATGTATATTCACTTCACTTTGAGGTTATACCTGGTTAATACTACAGAAGAATGGAAGGAGAGGGAATTGTTATTTTATATGTATAATCCTGAAATTCCATGGGGGCCACAGAAAAGTCTGATAACAGGTGTTTGAGCTCAAGTGCCCCTCCCTTGCCTCCCCCAGTGAACTAAGAGACAGATGACACCAAGCCTTGATCTCAGTCCCCAGCTCCCAACAAGCCCATAGTATATCAGACCTCCAAGCAAAGCTGCCAGGGGTCCCCAAGGAGACAGAAACAGAGAAAGTGCAAGGGAAAAAGAATGGGTTATTTCATCTGAAAGGGGATTTGTGACAAGGCTGTCCTTTTATGGTCAGAAACATAACCATATTTTTACTATTTGTGGTCAAGGCAAAAGCCATGACTGGTATAATAATGCAAAAAGACAGGTAGAGCCAGAAACCACCTCTAATCACAGAACATAGAGTGAACAATAACCCATGTTTTAAATCTGGTTTCCCAGGTATAACCTTGTCAAGGAATCTTCTAAAAGGCTCTGTACCCCCACTAAACCCCCATTCTGGCAAGCCACCTGCATCCCTAATCGAGTCAACAGCTCATTTTATGTGGAGTCCAAACCTGTCAGTGCTCAGCTAAACCTCCATAACCCTGAGCTGTCTAGCAATCTCGCTGCCTGAGTGAGGGTCAAGCTCATCAAAAGAAAAATGTGTCATATGACTGTAAGCAATTGCTATTCCTGAGACTGAGTCTCCCTTTCCAACACCACATGGTGAGAAGGCCTACATGGTGAGAAGGCCTAAGCTGCTTTGGCAAGAACATGTAATTAACAAGGCCAGTGTGTTCTGTTTTGTTTTGTTTGTCTCTAAGCTGCTTTGGCAAGAACATGTAATTAACAAGGCCAGTGTGTTCTGTTTTGTTTTGTTTTGTGGGGTTTCAGGGTACAGGTGGGGGCTGAATTGCCATGTTACCTATATAAATCTGGGCTTTTCCAGGCCTGATCACCTAGGTCAGGGACTGGAGCTCAATCTGCCTCCTGGGAAAGCCAATATGTGGGAACTGAGCCCATTACCTGCTGCACGTCCTGCTGGAAGACACAGAGCTGCAGCCGCTGGTGGAGCCGCACCTTGCGGTGCTGCCAGATGCTCTCAAGCCGCCGCTGGTGGTGCAGCACCTCATGCACCACGTCCAGCACCTGGTGCACTGCCTTGGAGTAGTTGGCTGTGGCTGTGAGGGACTCAGAGTTCCCAGGACTCAGGGGACGCTGCAGCACGTCCAGCAGTGCTTTGCCATCCTGGCTGACCTGCGGGAAGGATAGAAATTCCAGTCAAGGGAGGGGAGTGGCAGGCAAGGCACAGAGAGAGTCAGAGGGAGTCTGCCCGGGTTTCCTGATTAGGCCTGAGCATGTCAGTCCTCCTCAGACCCTTCACAACTAAGGAATGCACCCAGCCACAGCCAGAGGAGGGTGGCATATCCTAGAATCCTGGGAGAGAGGAGTTGCTGGAGCCCTGGCCAGTTGTCTGTGTGACTCTCTCTCTCCACTCTTGAATTTTAGCTCCATGAGGGCAGTCTCTGCCTTGCTCACTGCTCTCTCCCCAAAGCCTAAAACAGGGCCTAGCACATAGTAGACACTGGATAAATATTTTGAATGACTCACGGACTAGGTCAGGCAGCAAAACTTCATTTCAAAAACAAAGTCAAATATGCATCACCACCATAAACCTCTCCTGCGCTTTCTTCCCCAACTTCCTCTATCTGGCTCCAAACTTCTAGATGTGTGACCAGAGGCAAGTTACTTAACCTCCTCCGGCCTCAGTTTCCTTGTCTGTAAAAGAAGGATAATTATGGCACATAGCTCACAAAGCTGTGGTGAGGATTAAATGAGTTAGCACAGGTGATGTGCTTATAATAGGGCCTGGCATGTAGTATTGGCCACCAATTTTATCTTCATCTTCATCCTCCTCCACCTCCTCCTCCTCATTTCTCCCTACCATCTTATTTCCTTGTCATTTTCTTTCTTCTATCTTTATCCATTTTTATATTTGGCACTTTCTATATAACCCCCTTCTTTCTCCTGAAAAGCAGTAATATCCTATATTTCCAGAACATGCAGAGTAAGGCAGGGACCCTTATAGACTGTGGTCACACCATCCATGCCTCTGGGTTCCCCAGCACTTACCCTCAGTGCTGAGAGTAGTGGAGGTGACATTCCCTGTCATTCCTCTCATTGAATCCTAGCACGATCATGGGCACTAATAATTCTGGAGAGTGGTATCAGATGGTTGACACCTGTGGCTCTCCAGTGCTTGGCAGAGTACCCAGTAGAGTATGTGTCTTTCCAGTTTAAAACACACTTAAAACAGTGGTGACTGCAGAATTGATAGGAATTTTAAGACCCCAAATTAATTTGGTTAAAATTAAATCACAGTTGGTTTGGAGTTGAAATGGTCTTTTCCCACCAGCAAGGTAGGGAAGGAGGTATGCTTCTATCCCACTCCTATGAATATGAATGGGGAGCTGTTTGCTGGGCTTGCATCATCCCAACCCCACTTCAGGCCCTGATAATAGCTTGGTTGGCAGTCCGGGAATACAGAAGCAGGGGGTACTCCTGCTTGTGGGGCCACAGAAATGCTCTCAGGGCTGGCGGGTGACTAAGAGGAGTATTGGGGCAGTGTGTGGGCTGTGGCAGGAGAGGAAACACCACCATCCATCCAATCTCACCATCCCTGTCTCCCATAATTTATTGCCAAGGGAGGGGGTAGGAAGGGGGCTTATAAATAATGCAGAGGTAATGCCCTCCAGAGATGTGAATAAGACAAATATCCCATGGCCAATCCAGGGGAGCTCTCTTTGGGGAATTCTGAGAAAATGCTGGCTTTGGCAGGATGCTATGTGCAGGGCAGGGTGGTTAGAAATGGAAGGCCAAGTCCTAGAAATCCAAGCCAGCATGAGTTCCTGTCCTCTGCCTCAGTCTCCACATCTGTAAGAGACAGCGACAGCCCCTGACCTCTGAAGTGAGCTTGTAGAGAATGTCTAAGTCTTACCATGCTTGGGTCTTAGAATAACTTGGGAGAAATACTGTGTTTATAATTACACCCACACCTCACAAGTATGAAACATGTAAGTATCCACTATTTTTGTATTTTACAAGGAGTCAATTTAGAGATTCTTGACCCATGGGTAGAGAGGCACAGTTCTAAGAGACAAAGCCTTGGGCCACTTGGATCAGAGTTGATGAGATCAGATTTGGCTCACGAGTCTTCCTCTGTGCCTCCAACAATGACAAAGTCTGTTACCATTTTTTAGTACTTATTACTGTCAGACACTGGGCCAAGTGCACTATAGACATTATCTTTATAACCCTAACACCACCCTATGAGGCAGGCGTGACCACCTTCATTTTGCTTAGAAACTGAGACTTAGAGTGGTTGAGTAGCTTGCCTGAGGTGACACAGCTAGCAAGTAGGGGAGCCAGGATTCAAACTCAGTTGTGACTGTGGCAAAGCCCCTTACACTTTACCCAGAAGCCATTGGTTCTCAGACCAGTATGCATCAAGCTCATCTGGGGTAATAATTATTTAAATGTAGGCTCCAGACCCTATTTTTTGACATTCTGAATCAGGATGGGTTGGAACCCAGGAATCTGCATCTTTTACCAGCACTTCAGCTGAGACTGATGCAGGTGGTCTGGGAATGCACTTTGACAAACAATCTTCTAACTAGCCTTGCCTCAGAGGAAACACACGGGCCGGGTGTGAATTCACTTTGCCCTCTTCCTCCAGCTTCCTTGATTGGCCCATCTCTTTCCACTCCTCGGCTGCCTCCCTCAGAATTCAAGCCGCTTAGTGAACCCGCTTACTTGTGAATGCCCACACAGATGAGCCTATATGGTTCTTTTCTATTTTGAAAGGAATGTCAGGAGGTTTTGTTCCCTTCTTAATTCTGCAGTACTCCCCCTCCCCCCTTTGGTTTTTCAGTGGAAGAGACCTTTAGTTTGTCTTTCATATCCATGGCAGCTTCTTGCTCCTGCAAACACTCATCTCCACTCCCTGTGTTTTCCTCTGGGTCTTCTACTGAGAAAATTAGCATTTTTGGTGAGATGCTTCATAAAGGGGTGGCAGGGCTAGTCTGTACATGCCCATTCACCAACCAGAAAGCAAATTCCAGAGGAATATGGCCCTGTTTCCTTATATTCTTAGCCCCAGAAGAGAAAGTCCAATCTTCACACATAAAGTGAGGCAGGTATGTAGGTGAGAGAGAGAGAGAGAGAGAGAGAGAGAGAGAGAGAGAGAGAGAGAGAGAGAGAGAGTGTGTGTGGGTACCAAGGCAGTGCCTGCTAATATAGTCCCAATTTTTTCTGCTTCCTGGCTAGAGACACAATAGTTCAAGGTTCCTAAAGATGTCACCAAAGAGAGAAAATCAGCCTCTCCTCTTCTTAGTCCAACCCAGGCTGTTTCACAGTGCAGAGGCCTGTGCTCTTGGTGCCCACTCACATGCAGACATGTGCAAGACCCCTGCTTGCCCTACTCCTTCTCACCTCCGTGTAGGCCTGTGTCACCTGCTCGTACAAGGATTGATGGTGGTGAATCGCCAGCTCTAGGTCCTGCATCTCAGATGGCAGGCCACCTTCGCTGCACATCTTGCACCAGGCATCCACTCCCGACAGGAACTGGAAGGAGATGCAGGGTGGGTCAGAGTGGGAGTACTGGGGGTAGAGAATGAATGAGTTATGTAGAGAGGGTCAGTACCTTGGGAAGAAACATCAAGACTTCTGAGACCAGTGAGCCTTCAGAGACCACTGCAGAGGGTAGAGTTTTTTCTTTAATTCTGCAAACACTAACTGCGAGTAATAAGTCAGGCACCTGATTAGTTTCCATAAAGATGACTATTATGAAACTGCAGGGGACAGGGTGAGTTGTCTGGATGTTCAACAGGCTATACCCACACATGACTGTAAAGTACTGGTGTGGAAACAGCTCACTACATTCCATGGCTACATTAGGCCTTTGTGCCCTGTGCATACTCACAGGCATGTGAGAGGGGCTGCATGTAATGTAACAACCTGAGCTTTACAGCGTGCATACTGCATTGTGAACAGGAGCAAAGAACGCCTCATACAGGACCATCAGGAGCCCCAGGGAACTTGCAGACACCATTCCCACAAGGGATGGAGATGACCACTCAACAGGACTGCCACTGTGGGTCAGTTCCCTAAGGAGTAGGAAGGGGAGGGGCAGCATAGAGGATAGACTAGCTGCACCTACATTGGCAGTGGCTCCTGGGATGTGATATATAGATATAGATCTTGACAGACATCAAATTATTTAAAAATTAAAAGTAACAACTATGGAAGACTATGTCTCTATGCACAAAGGGTGAGTTAACTGAAATCACTCAGATTTACTGGGTGGAAAAATACACCTTTAAAATGCAAATAATTCTCACCCAACAGTCTGGAATGGTTCTGTCTGTGATTCCTCTTGCCTGGGTTCACAGCTCCACTTAAATTAATTGCCTAAATACCTTCTTATCCCATTGCCTAGAACAGCCCATATGAGGACAATAAAGAGCTGCTTAAATAAATGCATAGAAAAAAATAGCCTTGAATCATTTTTCCCCCCAGCTAAAAAGAAACATGGTTTATGAGTTTCCCTGAAGGACTGGTAGTACCTGAGGAAATCACATTTAAAAAATAGGTACAAATAAAATTGCTTCTGATCCAAAACAATCCAAGCCAGGAAACATGAAATAAGAGTAAACTCTTCCAGTCACTCTTAATTCTGGCACTGTGTTTTCTTCTGCAACTGTTTGAGTTCTAAGTTGGTGTCACTGTCAACTTTCAGACCCTGGCCTATTGGCTGTTGTGGTTGATTTTTCATTCTGTATTTTTTTTTTAAACACATGAGGCCATTTTTTAGTAATTCTGGAAGAGTGACAAGTATCACCCTGTTTCAGATTGCATGTACTTGCTGATATCTCAGAAGCTTCTTTGTTCCACCAATAACTACTTTACAGAGGAACCTGAAAGCAACCTGACATTCTTGTGTCAGTCATAGGGGGAGCACCTCTTCAAGGTCCTTGGGATTTCTCTGAAATACTCTAACAGGAGTCTTATAGCAGATCCCACAAAATGGTCAGCTCAAGGAGAAAAAGCCAGAGAGACAAAAAGGGAAGCCACTGAATCTTCCTTGCCAATCCAGATAAACCTTGAATAGAGTATGCAAGGGATAGGGTTGAAGAGAGAACAAGAGATTGGATATCAATATTCTCATGGTCCAAGGAGTGAACCAGTCACTATCAGTCACTACCAACATTGTCCTTAAAAAATATATATATGGCTAGATCCCTCTCAAAGTGTAGGGTACTTGACTTATAACACAGTATTTACTTACAGTATTTATTTCTGTCTTTGGGAGGTTGCAGGTGGAAATAGACACATGTGGAGGAAATGAAAAGATACCAGGATAGCATGCTAAGCAAACACCACAGCAGTAATGTCTACCATTTAGTAAGTCCACTAGGCACATTACATATTCCATCTCTAATGTTACAGCCTGACAATAGCCCTATGAGATTTAGGATTAGCCCCACATTAGAGATGAGGAACCAGGGTCAGAATGGTGAGGTGACTTGCCTAAGAGTTAATGAAAGGTGGGGCTGGGATTAGAACCCACGTTGCTGCCCTCAAAGTCTACACTGTTTCGATGATCCCATGTAGCCTTCCATGTTAGAGTGGGTTGCAGAGGGAGAGGTTTAAGGTATTACCATGTGTCTCACTCTCCTTTACCTGTTAGTTACCCAAATGTGATACAAAGAAAGAAATCTAGAGGTTAAGACTGCAGGCTTTAATGTTGGACTCACCTAGGCTGAAACCCCTGCTGCTCAGAGATTGCATGATTTTAGCAGTGGTGCATCAGCAAATATTTAACAACCAGCATATATATGGATGTGTGTATATGAATATATATGTGTGTGTGTATATGTATATGTATGAATATATTATGTAAGACGGTATTTCAAAAAATTCATGGAGAGATTCATATTATCTTTTAATTCTATTTTTCCACAAACTTTTTTTTTTTGGTCTTTTTTGTGACCGGTAAGGGGAGCGCAACCCTTGGCTTGGTGTCGCCCACACCGCGCTCAGCCAGTGAGCGCACGGGCCATCCGTATATAGGATCCGAACCCGCGACGGGAGCACCACTGCGCTCCCAGCGCTGCACGCTCCCAGCGCCGCACTCTCCCGAGTGCGCCACGGGGCCGGCCCTCCACAAACTTTTTGAAGTACCCTTGTATACACACATAAGTGCCTTACAAATTTCACTGATATAAAGGACTTGCAATGCACAATTTACAAAGAATGACAACATATACAATGCTGTTTATTGAAAAGTCCATATAGCAATTGATTGTCACAGGATGTTGTTGTTGAACTCTTGTATCCACAATCTATGGTTGCAATTGAAAAATTTGTATATTTACAACACAAACTCTGGGTTGATATTTTCACTTAAGTAAGGGAGTAAGACAAAACTGAGAAACACCTACAGACTTAGGCCAGAACATCACTTATTTATCAATGATGTAAATGACTTTGTTAAATCGAATAATAGTTTTTGAATATCAGAGGAGTATTTCCTGGATTTTGTGTGCTGTTCACAATGTAATAGCTACAGAAGGAAACATTTTTTAGTCTGCATTTTTTAACATTTTCTCCCTCATTTTCTCAAGATTCTAAATGATCAATAAAACAATAAATCAAGTCCTGGTTGTAGCATTTGATGATTTCCATGAGGTAAAACTCCTACCATGATATATTTTAGCTACTTATATGACATTACTAAATGTGGAGTTGGGAAGAGATGATCAGTAGTACACAATTGTATAGTATTTCTCCCATAGAAAAAAAATAGATAAAAATAACCTCAAGAACATAGATAATAAAATTTAGTAAAATGATCAGACAGTGATGAGTTTTGAGCATTTACTACCTTTGCTTTTAATTATAAATTTATATAATTTAGTTTTAACTAATGACTATGTTTAATAACCAGCTCACAAAATTCCTGAAAATTTAACAACTGGCTCTCCATGAGCTGGTTCAAACTGGGCTTCAACACATCATGGGATCTTAGGCAGGTCACTCACTCTACCTGAGCTTCAGTGCTCCTCTCTGTAAATGGGTTAGTAATGGCACGGGCTAATGCCTGGCCACTAGTAAATGGCAACAAGTAATTATTATTTCTACCCATTATATTATTATTACATTATTATTATCCATAGCAAATGCTTTGTGTAAAATTAGTTTTCCCCTGCTCTCAGCACTCAGTGATCCCTTTACTTTCACACCTTTGATCTGTTCTCAGAGAACGCACACTGAGCAGACATTCAACACACACCCCTAACAGTAAACTGCCAAGCAGAATGTAAACGGGCTCTGAGTCTCCTCTTGTTTAGATGACAAGCAAAGCCACCAAGAGTTACCAATGTTTCTTTGTGTACACAGGGGCCATGAAAGTGGTAGGACATGGGTTTTTGTTGCAACGATTCAGCAGGGTCTATAGTGTTTCACGACGACAGGAGGGGCTCTCTGTAGGGAGTGTGTGTGCTCCCAACCTGTCCTCCCCTTCCTCTCCATCGTGCCCACCAACAGCAGCCGCAGCAGATCCACGGGCCTCACCTGCTCAGCCTTCTGATGGAACACAGCAGACATGGCGAGGATGGTGCTGCGTTCATCCAGGGCAGCAGCAAAGCTCTTCCACTCCTGGTCTAGTTGCGTGGAGATCTGCTTGATTTGCTGTGAGGCATAATGGCCGGCCTCGGAGAGGCGGGAAGCCACCGACATGATGCGGTTGATGTTGACATAGGCATTCTGGGAAGCAAAAACAAGTGAGTGCTTAGTGAGGTGGATGTATATTTGAGGAAGGGAGCTACCCAAAACAAAAAGTGTGAGAAAGGCTGGTACAGGCAATCCTAGTGCATCTGTTCTTGGCACAAGGGGAGTCTTTTTCTGTGACATAAAATCCTGGCAGGCAGCATGGACAGTAGCTAAGACCTTTCATTCTGGGGAACTAGCATAGATCTGTGCCAACTATGAATGCACATCAAGGCAGTCGTTTTACATGAACGATCTTCTGCAATCCTCACAACCACATTAGGAGGTCATTCCAGGGGAACGGCATGATACTTGCAAGAGCGCTCTTTGGAAGCAGTGGCTCAGCTAGGGCACATGCTAAAGGAGGCAAAGACATCTCTGTTGCTCAAGAGAGAGCTGCACCAAGGGCAATATTGCCACCTACAATGGGGCAGTGGTACTCACCAGAGAGGGCAAAGGAGACATGGTCAATCCACATCTTCCTGTCACTGAGCAAAAACTCCCTCACTTTCTACCACTTTCCTCCCCCCTGCCAAAAGAGCTGAGGCACTGGTCATCACTCAGTCTTTAAATAAAGAGAGCATTTGAAGCCACATTTGTCCATGCTAAAAATAAGACCTATGGAAACCTTTCTTTTTCCTGCTTAACTTAGGAACATTTCCCCACCTGGCCCCAAAAGGGAGCTCTCCTGGCCCCGCTGCCTCCTTTCATTTTCTGTTTTGTTTACATTCATTCCCATCTTTGCTTGCCAATTAAAAATTCATGAACATGTGTGTTGTTTCCTACAAGACCAGCAAAAAGCCCTCCAGGAAGGAACAAGACAAAAGAAAAAACCCCACAAACATAAGGCAGTAATGATCATGGTTATTTTAAAATGCTACTTCCTATTAATTGTCTGAGGTGTCAAAACAATCACGTAATATTGAGGCATCCACAGGGAACTTTTCTGAATCATGCAATGTCTGCCTGAAGAAGGACTAGGAGGCAGGTTATTCACACACCTTCATTCTTTGTTAAAAATCTCAAATGATTATACTTTTCAGCAACAGCATTTTCTCCAGGTTCTATTGAGTCAGGTGTGGTTTGTTAATACTGGGTAGGTTTAGTGAAGGTTATTTTCCTCTCCCACTTTCCTCATGGCCCCTATTCATCTTAGCTATCCGCAACCTCTAAGTGCTCCATCCCAAACCTGGACCAGGTTGATAAGGTGTCCCTTAATTTAAAAGGTCTCTGTGGAAGTTTAAAAGGTTAAGTGAAGTACTTGAACACAAATCCAGTCTGACGTTTAATGACCCCCCTTGTGTCATCTCTTTTTTTAGCCTGGCCTGAGACCTTCCTGACATACTGCATTTCCTTAACAGAGCTAGAACATTACTGACTCTTGTTGTGTGCAGTAACTATCCTTCAAAGATTTGGGAGCCATTATCAGCCCTGTTTGATGAGTCAAGACACAAATTCTACTTAAAATTAAACTCTATTTATAGAACTGACAGAAAAACCAACTACTTAGAAACAGAGGGAAAGAAGAGAGAAAGAGAAACAAATGTACTGATTTTAGCAGTTTTGGCTTCTAAGGGAATAACATTGAGAATCTCCCCAATTTTCTGCTTGTATCATTATCTTAGTTTGGGTTCTCTCCAAAGCAAACCTGAGACAAGCATTTGGGGTAGATAGTTTACTTGGGCCTGTTCCTATGAAGCATAGTGAGGGAGAGGGAAAGTCAAAGAGGAAAGGAAGGGAAATGAATAAAGGATGTGTTAATCAGTGGTTTGGTGCTATGAGCAACCGGGGTTCGATCTCTCCTGAGACCTTTCGAGAGACTGTAGAACACACCTCTGAGCTGTCCCACTGATGGGTGAGGAATCTAGGCTATTTAGGCACTAAGACAAATCACTCATTGGTTGAAGGTCCCTCCTGGGGTAAGTCCCTGGAGTTTCCAGCCTAACCTACACATAGGCCAAGCACTCTCTTGAGGTCAGAGAGTGCACACGACAGAGAAACGCAGGAAGCTGTCAGTTTGTTTGGGAATCATCTGCAGAGGAGGGGTGGAGGGCATATGGGAGGGACACTGACAGCATCTGAAAGAGGTGTCATCCCAAACTGTGTTCAAATCCTGGAATTATCCAAATCTCTCTAGAGTGCTGTGTTTTCCTGACCTGGAGAAATGCCTTGCATTCTTTGGCCAGATGGGATGCAAGAAAAGCAATGAGAACAGGGTATTACTCTGTCTCCAGCACTCTGTAATCTTGGCCTATTTACATTTTTCTCCCATCCAGGGAACACAGGGAGGCAAATTTCTGCTTACTTTTAGGAAGAACTTTCTAGCTAATAGAGATGTCCAACTGTGGCTGCCTCTGGAGACTGTTAACACCTCGTCACTCATTCAAATATTTATGGAGAGTGGGCCAGGCTTTGTGTTGGGGACTGTGGGAGATCAAATAGGCATGAAACAGAAATCCTGCCCACCCACCCCACCCCTAGGGACTCACAGCTGAGACTTAAGACAAGCCCTCAAATAACTGTAATTTGAAGCAAAATAAAGTGTTTACACAGAAGTAGAAGCAATGCACTGTGGGGATTCAGAGGAAAGGGATCTGAGCCATTGGCAGGATGTTGGGAAGGGGCTTCCAGGGCAGATACGGGCAGGGAGGCCAGCAGTCCTCCGAGGTCCCCTTCAACCCTTAAGACTGTGATCACAGATGAAAACTAAAAAAAAAAACAGACTATAGCTTATGTCCCACAGTCTAGAGACTAGCACAGTAAATGCTTTTATGTTTCCTTATCAGTGGGCAGAGAAATGTCGTTGTAAAACTAACAAATGATCATGCTTCATGAAAGAAGTAGAGGAAATACCCCTCACAACAGAAGGATCTATGACGATGACTCAGGAATTTGCTCATTGCTCTTCCCCATAGCCTCTTTTCAGAACTTCAAAACACTTCATGCCAGTCACACTGCCCAAGTTCATCCTCTTCATTTCTATTTCCCTTTACCTTAGAACCTGAGAGAAATGAGCAGATAGATTCTCAACTGTAGCTGTTCCTGAGTACAATGATAACCACACGCCAAATGAGAAGGGAGAAAGGGCAGGGAAGGTCTCCAACAACTTAAAAGGAAAGAGCAAGGTTAAAGAGCTGGATTAAGAATATGAATGGATAGGGGTGCTTAGTCGTCAGGCAAAAATGACCTTTCATGGTCTCTGGTCAATCCATGGTGTGGTTCTGTGTGACTGTTTATGCTTCTGTTAAGGAACATTTGGGAATTGTGTTTGTCCTTGGGACATGGCCAGCAGGAATGGATATTTTGGCCTTTCCATTTCCTACCAACTGTCCCCTCTACCCTCTCCCATCTGCCTGGCTCTACCATCTTTCCCTGCCAACATTAAATGTCTTCCCATCTGCAGAGCTATCTGTCAGTCAAGGGCATCAAAGTCACTAGGCTGGGAGTCAAGAGACATGAGTTCTGGTCTTCCTACCTCTGGCACTCACTTAAGATATCACTTGACTCCACTGTGCCTTAGTTTCCTCACCTGTAAAATGAGGGAGTTGAACTAAATGATCTCAGACATCCCCTTTCTGAGTAGTAGTGTCAGTTCTAGGAGACCAGAAGAGTAGTGCTGCATACCCCAGAGGTACACGTAGCCTAGCCTCACTGTCCCCATGCCTCAGCACCTTATCCTGTCTCTGCTCACTGCCCTGTAATGTGAAGGCCAAGCTGGAGCTGGATCCCCTGAGTTCTTCAGCCTCCAGGTGACCAAAAGCCAGTTGCTTTTCTCCCCATCTCCTCTTCAGCCCCTTCCCCTGAGTTGAGCTACCCGGACTAACCAGCTTCCCTGGCTAGAAGGTAATAACTTGACTAACAATTCTAGCTTGATGAATATATTCTTAAATCCTTACCTCAAAACTGCTTTGTTACATTTAGATCCCCCACACATAAAAAGAGCTGTTATCTTTATTATTTTCATTATTCAAACTGTAGCATAGTCCAAGATGTGAAGACAATCTATCCTGAAGCATGCAATGCACCTGCAGCATGGTCTGTACTATCATCCACCCCTCAAAGCCTCTCCTCCCATCACTTAGGTCACAAACAGGAAAAATAACTAAATTCCAGCAAAATCTCACTAACTCAGAAACACCCTACATTCACACCCTGCTCCTACTTTTGTTACCTACAAATTATCCACTTTCTTATTTTATTCCCACATTCATTAACTGGAGATTACAGGATGGAGGGCCCCTTCTCCTGAGGCCATTTCTCCTGCTGTGATTAACTGAAATTGATGGAGTAGAGTCATTCTCCTGAAAGAACTACTTTGCAGAATCTTGATGTAAGTTTTCACCCCTGCCAAAAGGGTTCCCCACTTTGAACCTGGTTTCTGGTTTATCCCCACTGGCTACAAAAACATGCAAAATTGCTTGCAAGATAATGATAACTTTCCATTAAGAAACCCAGCTAGATTTTCTCTTTAAAAGAGGTTTCTTATTGGAGAGACTCAGAAAGACATACCAGTTCTTCTAGAAATAATCATTTGATGCAAGCTATCATTTTAGTAACCTTAAGCTCTGTGCCAGGGGCTAATTATAAGAAAAGATCATTGCCAAGAGTGTGTATTATTTGAATCCCATTCACTTCACTCCTAAAACCAGAAGTGAACATTCCACTCATCTGGTCATAGGTCCCCACTCTGAATCAGAAACTCTCTCTGTGGGTTACACTGATAACATAAAGCATCCAGCCAGTTGCCTGGCATATGACCAATACTGCAATGAATGTCATATCTTTTCCCTCATCCAGTTCCAGCAGACTGGCATTAACTCCCCAAGTTATGTACAAGTAAAAAGTATAAGAAAAAGAAAACTCTTTCAACTATTCCAATAAGAGGCAAAATAAGTAGTCTGAAGTCCCCTTGTATTTCAGAGTACACCACAACACTCCTCCCCCCTCAAACCCTGGGAAGAGTCCCTCTCCATAGGAGCCTGACACATGTCCCAGTC